CAAAATAAAAATACAGGATACAGATGATGTAATTCATAGAAATGCATGTCACCCCGCCACATAGACCCTCACCTATCCACTCCTCTCTGGTTTCTGCGGCTGATAAGCCGGCTGAAACTGATTTATTCTGAGAGAAAAATATTGTTCCATGGCTCTGATAAGTTCAAGCGAACAGGGCGACGTCGTATTCGAATAGACATAAGTACGACCATGTTTATTAGTAGAAATGGCACTGTCATAGTATTATACTACTTTTGCAGTACCTAGTACAAGAACTTGCAATGCATGCTTCTTTAAAGAAGAAAAAAGAAATTGTTTAGGGGGAAGAATAAAGAAACCTTTTGGTCCAATATTAATCCAGGACCCAAGATTGTGGCTTGTAGACACACCAAAACGGTGTTGTGAAAGGTTGCTTTCATGGAACTAACATTAGGTGGCAAGGCTGGTGAGGAACACCTATGTTCTGTTAGGATGCTTTGGATACCTCAAAGACTTGACTACTACTACTAGCTTACTTGGCAAAAAAAAAAAAAAACTAAATTAATCTCATGGTGTCCATTGCGAACGAAAAGACAGTAACTACGTTTGCATATGCAAATAAGAGTAACAAACAAATAATGCTACTTTAATAAAAACTCGATCAGCTAGACAACCCCTGGGTTTTTCGGTTTAAGAAGAAGATCTTCTCATGTAGACCAAGAAAACCCTCGAACTCCTATCCCACCTTTAACACATGCATCAGTAGCTCGTGAAAACAGATCGCTTTGGATGTGGGGCGAAACGGAGTGCCCCCCCCGTCCTCGTGGCCGAAGCCACGAGAGTGAGTCCCTCAGGACTCTGAACCCTAACCACCCTGGGGAGGTACTGAGCCTGCACTACATTCATCCTAACCTAACAGGGAAAAGAAACCTGTCCTTATTCTGTAGGACAGTACTCTACTAGGAAGGCGATTGCTCCGGTCAAGATGATCCAACGGTCCATATTTCGTTGTCTGCGAATGGAACATGACTAATGCGTGAATTTTCCCTCGTGGCCCTGTTCCATATGCTTACTTTCTATAATTTAAATTTAATTTCTCTATTTTTGTGAATTTTTAAAAATAATATATTAACAAGCACAAATATCAAATAAATGCTTGTCAACATATATCTCACGGTAGATTTAATAAAACTAACTGGATACATATCGAAGATGTTGGCAATTTTTTTTTACAAATTTAGTTAAAGTTAGAAATGTTTGATTTTTTATGAAAACATGAGACATTGAGAGAAGTTTGACTTAGCGTAAAGCTAAAGTGAGTTATAGTAATTTGAAAAGGCCGAGAAAGTAAGATTTACCCGAAATCTGAACTAAGTCTAAAAAAAATAATTGGAGCCCAACTACCACAAACACATATATACTCCGTCCATACTAGAATATTTTGTATAGAAGCATTCAAAAACTATACACAAATACAAACAAAAAGGGTAATTCTATATTTAAAAAATTCTCAAATATAATACATGTTGTTTATACAAAGACAAGTAAGTTTTATTTGTTGTACTACTAATCACAAAATTCTAATATATGTGACTTCTAAGGTTCTAGTCGTACAAAGGACTATAGTTTTTTTTGAACTATAGTTAGTAGATATAGACAACGTTTACCACTTGATGATTTTTCAAACCACCTATGAGGGACGAGGGAGGCCACAATTTTGAGAGGGCCACGGATGAAATTAATGTTCAGCCTGTTCGTTTGGTCATATTTGGCTTATAAGCCATGGCTTATCAGCCAACGAACAGTATTTTTCTCTCACACCAAACCAGCCAACAGTACTTTCAGCCATGGCTTATAAGTTAAACCAGCCCAAACGAACATGGCGGTTGATGGCACCACTAGCCGTTGCATACCACCCCATCACATAGCCGACTTTTCTGCAAAGTGTACGTTGTCTAGGAATATGCATAATTATAAGTACGATCATGTTAGTGGAAATGGCATTGTCACATTATATTACTTTTCCGATATTTATGGCGTATTTGGTTGGTGCCTGGCTTGCAGCTCACCCACAAGCATCAATCTCGATCGTCAAGTGATCGTCAAGTGACCGAAATCGACAGCCTAGCACGTGTTCTTACTTGGTCACCCAACCAAACGAGCCCTGGTACGAGAACTCACAATGAAGACTTCTTTAGGGAACAAAATGAGTTTATTTTTATGGAAAAGAAAAAAAAAGAAACCTTTGGTCAAATTTTAGTTCAGGACTTATGGTTGGGGCTTGTAGTTTTAGACACACACGGAAAACTGTGCCGTAAAAGGTTGTTTTCATGGAACTAACATTAGGTGGCAGGGTTGACGAGAAACACCTATGTATGCTTTTGTATGTATAATAAATAAGGATGCATGGATACCTTGGAGACTTGAGGAGCTTATTATACTTGACAAAAACTAAATTAATCTTATGGAGTCAAGTGCCAAAAGACAGTTCGTAACCAGTGTTTGCGTATGCTAACAAACAAATAATGTTGCTTTACTAATCGCACTTCCCACGTAGCATTCTCGATGATTACTACATTGATCCTAACCTGAGAGGGACGGCACGGCAGAAAAGAACCCTGTCTGTCTGTATTCCTTGGTACTAGTAGTATACAGTGTGGGAGTAGACGGTAGCAAGTGGCGTTTTCCTGTCGAGGAAGACGACTCCTCCGGTCCAGACGATGGATATCCAACGGTCCATATATCGCAAATTTCGCTGTCTGTGATTGGAACATGAATAATACATATACTTTTACATGACTGACGCGTGAATTTTCCTTTGCGGACCTGTTCCAAATGCTTGGTTTCTAAGTTAAATTGATTTCTCTATTTTTATGAAATATGTTAAGTAGTATATTAACCTGTAGAACCAAATAAAGACCTATCAGGGTGTATCTGACAATGAATTCAGTAGAACTAAATAGATATATTGGAAAATGTTGGTATATTTAATGGTGTTGTTCTTTTAGTGATATAATTCGCAAAAAAAAAAAAAGAGTATAAAAGTATGTATTATTCTTTCGGTGGTGAATATGTAATTCACATAAAAGATGTTGGCATACATATTTTTAAATAACATTAGTTAAAGTTAGAGAAGTTTGAATCTTTTTTTTTTTGACAATATATAAGATAGGGCAAGAGAAGTTTGACTTAGCGTAATGAATCTAAAGTCACGCGTATAATTTGGAACGGAGCGAATAGGATTTAGCCGAGATCGGAAATAAATCGGACAGATTTGATTGGAGCCCAACGACCACAAACACACGCATACGAATTGAATGAAGATTTTGTTTACACGGAAATAGGTAGAGGCTCCGATCCGTGCTTGAGATACACTAGTCTCCTACGCAAAATGCTGGCTCGTGAGGACGATGACCAATCTCTCGACCGACCGGCGACACCAAATGTGCCGAATACGAAAGACGACTAGCGACGACACGACGCTGATTCAGCACTGCTCGTCACCATCAGGATCGCGTGAGTACTCGCTCGTTCGGCGTCGGCCAGAAGCGTCGTCGTTCGTTGCGGTACGGTGGGCATGGATGTCGGATGGGAGCCAAGATCCGGCCGTCGGCGGTCGTTACGAAATCACACGCACCGACGGCGACACTGTGTTTGGTAGTGTTGGACTGACTCACCAATACCAAACCCTCTTGGCGGCATCAGGCTAGTAGCTTGACCACGATATGTCACCACGAAAACACTGCCAAATCCTACTCTAACCTTTGTCCCCTTTATTTGCTACGAGTACCCCTATATACACTGGTTTTTCCGTGGGCCGTTGTCGGCACTTGAGCTCGAAGGCAGCCTGCACTGCACAGTGGTCAGGTCGTGGCATGAAAACTTGCCTGGACGGCGACCATCCCCCCCTGCTCTCTGGTCCGCACGTAGACGGCGGACCGATGGACTGGTCAATGCGGACTCTCTGCGTCTGCGTGCGTGCAGCGGCTATCCTTACTGGATGCACGAATTGTGCGCTATAATTCACTCGATTTCGTCACCACATTCTTTGACTCATAAAAAAAATAGAATGAATTATAATTTAAGACTGAGAGGGAGTAATCTAAGTGTGTTACCGATGATTGGTTTCTTAGTTATCATATTGTACACAATTTGAATGAATGGCTTTGGTTCCTTATCAGTGTGCGGAGGAGCCCAAGACGGTAAAGTGGTGAAGGCAAAACTAATAGTTCCATCGACTCTCTGTTTAATTATGAGCAAATAGAGAAAACAAGACTTCTCGCTATAATGCATGGAGGAACGTAAGTCGAAACCGCTCAGAGCTTACCTAGCACCAAACGTACCCTTAATTGCACACATAGACCATCATCATATCGAAAGCCACAGCTTCACACGCTAAAATTAGAGGGGCTGTCTGTATGCAGTATGTACCCATCACAGCGTTTTTTTTTTTCCTTTGAAACTTATAAGCTCGCCTGTCTTGTACTGCTTCGTATATAGTACTATTTGACAAAAAAGAAAGATTTGAATACTATATTAGAATTAAAATCTTATTATGGTATGATATTTAGGGGCAGACTAGTTGGTGGCTTCCCACCAAGTCCTGCTTTGATCCTTCTTTCAATCAAAGCTCCCAAAGAATAAGAAGAAGAAGAAGAAGAAGAAGAAAGCCATGTACTTGAACCCGACAACAAAAAAAGAAGACGACATCCAAAGGAAATAAGGAATCCAATACCAATCCCACTATTGCCAACTACTACCTGAGGCAGCTCGGCTGCCTGCCTCATCTTATTATCCTTTTTTTTTCTGCTTGCTTATCACTTTATCAGTATATAAGTATTAGTTTATTGTTTGCATTTTTTTTCTTGACCACCCGCCAGAAGGCTGCAATGTGATTAGATTAGTAATTATACCCACTGCTAATTACCACAGTAACTGATGAGAGGAGAAAAAAACAAGAAACCCATGAACAAACGGGAAGCTGGGCTGGCGGAGGCGACGGCCGTGGTGGACGCAGGACGCTAGTTCATGTCCACCATGGCGTCGTGGAAGCGCTCGACGCGGTCGGGCGTGACGCACTGCGTGATGAGCCTGGCCCCTGGCTTGTGGGCCCAGGGCTTGACGAGGATGCACGTGGCGATGTAGTCCAGGTTCGTCAGCGGCACCACGTGGGCGGGCGGGCCCCAGCCGTAGTCCACCTCTGCGAAGCCCAGGCGGGTCCAGTCCGACACCAGCAGCGTCCGGTAGTCGGAGGTGATCTGGTACGGGTCCACGCCCTCCTCCCCCGCCGCCCACCGCGCGAACTCCGACGGCAGCCGCTTCTTCCCTTCCCTGATGATCTTCACCACGTCGGTGACGGACGACGAGGCCACCCTGTCGGCCGTGGACGCCACGCGCATGATGTAGTAGCAGTTGCCGTAGAACCCCGCGCCGCCACGCGGGAGGCGGGTGGCGCCGAGGAGCGGCCTCGCGTTCATGGCGAAGCAGAGCTGCACGGGGGTGCCCGCCGGGTCCTCGAACCCCGCGGCGCGGGTGCGGCTCTGCCACGCCTTGGCGATGAGCACCTCGAACGCCGAGCACCGCCCCCCGCCCGTGGCCGCCGCGAACTGCGACTTGAAGTGGTCGATGTAGTCGGCGGAGATGTCGATGGCCAGGTACTCGAGCCGCTTGGCGCCCGTGGGGTCCGGGAGGCTGCCCACCAGCGCGCCGGGCGGGTCCGGGATGGCGTCGCGCGCCCAGGTGGGGGACACGGAGACCTGCTCCGCCCCGCGCGCTAGCTCCCCCACCGCGCCCATGAACTTGGCCGCGCCCAGCCCGTCCGCCACCGCGTGGCTGAACCGAAACCCCACCACGAAGCCGCCGCACGCGAACGCCGTCACCTGCACGAAATCCGGGCGGCGGTCAGAGAGCTGGCTGGGAATCCCAAATCCACGGCGAACGGAGGCAATCCCGCACAATGCAGCTGGAATTAATTGACCCACCTGGACGAGCAGGATGAGCTTGCTCTCCTCGTCGTGGCTGGGCCTGGGCAGCGGGTGCGGGAGCAGGTCGTCCTTGGGGATCTGGAGCGGGTACTCGAGGTAGTCCACGTCCTCCAGGCGGCACCGCACGGCGGCCTCGATGAACCAGACGCCCTCGGCTCTGCAGTCGACGTGCAGGCCCCCCGCGGTCTCGGACACGGCGAGGCGGCCGGCGAGCGGGTAGTAGTCGACCAGCGCCCGCGCGAGGGCGCGCTCGATGGTCGCCGCGGGGCTCACCCCGTCACGCGCCGGGTCGGGCTTGAAGACGTGCAGCGACTCGATGAGCGCCATCTGCGTCGGGTACCGGTCCAGCCACGACAGGCGGTGCGGGCCCGTCGGGGTCGGCGCCGCCGGCGGCACAAGGCGCTGCGCCAGCCGCTCCACCGTCTTCGCCGCCGCTGCCGCCGGCTCCATGGCTCACCGCCTCACCGGAAGGAGAGGGAGAGGAGGGGGGAAGGTCTCTCTCCCTCCTTTTCCCTTGGCCTGGGGGGATTGGGATTTGGCCTCCGGGAGGAGAAGCGGTGGTGGTTGTGGGTGGGGTGTGCGCTGTCCTGTGACTGTCGAGGTGAAGTGAACTCAAGCGTTGGTTGCCTGGAGTCATGTGCGATGTGCCTGCGGGAGGTGGTGGTGGTTTATATAGATGGGTGAGTTCCGACGGAGTGGATCAGCGGCGCGGGGCTCCGGGGGAGGGGAGGATTGGCGGCTTGGCGCACGGTGGTGGCGGCCGGGGGGACGCCGGACGCGGACGTGGACAGGCTGCCAGAGGCAGGAGTGGCAGCCCTGCAGAGCGGCAGCGGTGCGCGATGGCCTACGGGTAACGGTAGGAAGGGTGCCCGATTTTGTCGACGAGGACGTGAGTCACATGGACCGGGTCCACGGGTCCACCATGGCCGCACGCGCACAGTCCGTTTCCATTTCTCTCTCTTTTTTAATATATTTATTTATGGAAATTATCTGTCTTACTGTGCTTCATTTATCCATTCCATACTTCCCGGCAGAAACCAACAGGTCGTTGCAACGTGAAGCTCCTCTTCTTTCGCCAACGCCCAACATGCATGAGCACATTTCGTGTTTTCACAAACATGTGCAATCACGTTTTTGGCTTGGAGAGCACCTCGATCGGAAGCAATTACTTACTTCTTCCATTCTATTTAGATGTATAGTAAAATCTTAAGTATCTAGAAAAAGCGGAAATAATTTATAATTTGCAATGGAGGAAGTATATTGTAGCGATTCAACTCATACGAAGTACTAGACATCACAACGGATCTTTTACTAATGAACATGGTAGCGACTTTGGCTAGAATCTAAAAAGACATAAATATTAAAATCTATAATTAACCAAAACTATTTCCTTTGCCAATTTTTTTTCATTTTTAACATAATCTATAATATATCAGGTTGTGATGAATCTATCAATTACTCTATATGTTCATGCCATCTATATCCATAACTTTTCCATGTGCACACACTCTATGCTTCAATATGCATTTAGTTAAAAAGTCATATCATATTAAGGTGGCTCTTGTTGCAGCCATTGTCTCATAACGTCACGAATCTAGATTTTGACATTGATCTTGATGGTAGTTGTAATTTTTAATCAACATGTTATGTTGAAACTCTTATACTAATCATAACTTTTATACCTTTCATTTAAAACTTTCGTATTGTATTTTATTAAATATAGATTTTATGTCGTAGATTGCACTTTCGATGACTAGAATGATACAAGGTTAATAAATATAGATTGCACTTTGGAGCTTCAAGTCACATTTAAGAGGACCACTGATGCAAACCTCAAGAGCATATTAATATATTTAAACCCAACGGTTATTGCTTATTCCAAACAAACATAGTGAGCGCGCCAGCAACAGGCGATGAGTCGAGGCAGGGCACGGCAGGCCACATTGTGCGGTGGGGCGGCAATGTTTTTTTTTTTATTTTGTTAATCAATTTGTAGAGGTTGTCAAGGTTTTCAATGTTCCATCTCTATATATGAAACCCGCTTCCAAAAGCGAGCACCTGATAGTGCCACGTCGCCCGTCAGCCTACTAGCCGTTGGATCTGGCAAAGACGCAATATGAGCCGTTCGATCGGGTTTGTAGCGGGTCTCAACCGTTAAGCCACGGACCCGAAGTCTCACGAAGGCTCGCGAACCCGCTCGTCCCCTCTGCCTCTCCAGTCTCCACATGCCGCGCTCGACTTCACCTGCCACGGCGGCACGGCGCGCGCGTCCCTCCTCCCACATCCCGTCACGACACGGATCTGGCTACAGGCGCTGTGGCGCGTGCACGACCAGCTGAGCTCCGGCCTCCGAGTGATGTAGCGCGGACCAACGCCGGCGGTGAAGGGTGGTGCGGCAAACGGGGACGGCAGCTCGAGCGGGCGGGCGAGCTGAACTGTGGGGGGGCTGGGGGAATAGGGAGTGGCGGCCGCACGGGCGAGCTAGCTGCGGTGGCGCGAGGAAGCTGCGGCCGCATGAGCGAGCGAGCGTCGGAGAGACGGCTGCACGAGCGAACGCGCGGCACGGGTGAGCATCTACGCCGGGCAAACGAGCGCAGTGACCGGCTACAACGCAGGCAAGAGGCGGCTTTGTGTGCTCGGCCCTTCGAGGTCTCCTGGACGTGTGTAGCTGCTATTAATCCTATTGAAGAAACATCGGTATAGGTACGTGGAAGGCTGAAGGCCCAACAAGTACCAGTTGGCCTCCTCAAGATGTCGTCTATCCTATTCATCTCACTGCTTCAGGCACTAAAAAAATTATCTTAAATAAAAAACTAATATTCAAAATAATAAACGAGGACATACGAATAGACCGATATCGAAATATATCATTCCAAACGTTAAACTGGAATGGTTTCCATATAACGGAATTAACAAGTATATGCGGTGCACCTACCTCTCTCCTCACAGGTGTGAGCGTCACCACCTTCGTCTTTGTAGGCACGGCTTCTAGATGGAACTTGGTATTTTGCCGTATTTCCATGGATGTAGCGTGAGCCATGATTTCCAATTTTTGGTCCAATAAATCACTATTCTGTAATCAAGCCACTATATGTTTTTTCCCTACAACTATTTATGGCATTAATTTGAGATCATTACATATTTCCGGTTAGGCTACTGCCCAGAGAACATGAACTCTGAATGATTTGTTCAAACATTAAACTTCTGCTCATACATATTCTAATACAGAAAGTAACTCTATGTTATGCAGAGATGTAATTGGGATCTTATTCTTATATATGTCTATGTGAAAGAAAATATAAGTTTTGCAACTGACAAACAAAATGCATCTTCAATCAGTTCTATTTATTGCGTACACATAAATGATAGCTCAGGTTGTACACCAACGTATACGTCAATACGTATAGAATCCGTTCTGTTTCTACCTGACTAAGACAACAGATAGTCTTCAAATGGGACTCGCACAATAGTATCACCAAATGGACTCACACAACAGTATTGCAGGCTGGCTAGACATAGGCAGGGCGCGGCAACGCCGCGCATAATTTTCTAGTAGAAATTGATTTCTATGTGTGATTCGATAGTCATCTCTACAAATCTTGATTTGTACACACGTTTGGGTAGAGACAAGTAAAATCTATGTCTGAGTTCTACCCTATCTCTATACGCCGGATTATGCATTCCTTGATAATACCAAGAGTTTATATCATCAACAAGAAGTGAGTAATTTACAGACTTATATATGCTTAGTTTACTGTTATTTATCTTTTACTGGTAATATTTTAGTTTATTTTAGTAATGTTGGTTGAGAGTTACTTTGAGATATTTTCTAGATGATAGAAATGGGTAGTTGAAAAATAGATATAACCAATGACTATTATTTTCAGTGAACATTAAAGTCTATTTATTTAATGGTTTGATTTTTTTTCTATTTTTATGCGAATCTGTAGAACTTTTTGTCCATAGCGCGTTGTCTGAGGGTTCCATCGGGACCCTTTAATTGTAATAATAAGATAGAGAAGAGAATACTATGAAATTAAATCTACTACCACTGTTTTTAAAAAATGTATTTTTGGCTATTCATCTAGACAAGTGCTTGTCTAGTTGCATATCTAGAAATGTGGTTATTTTGGGACGAAGAGAGTACTTATTTACTCTCTTCATCTTTAAAAAGAGTCCACATCTCACTTTTCAAAGAAGTCAATTAATTTTAAATTTGATCAAATCTATATAAAAATACTAACGTTTATGATACTAAATAAGTATCATTAGATTAATTAATCACTTAATAAGACTTCATGGTAAATCTATTTCAAAGCATAGATGTTTGTACTGTTTTTTTTAATAGTCAAATTTGATATTGATTTTACCACTTGGAAAGTGAGACGTGTAGTCTATTTTTGGATGGATGGATAGGGAATAGTGTACATGCTTATTTAACGTGGAGAGAAAAATGGTGGAATATATATTATTATGAAAAAAAACCATGTCGAAACCGAAATCTCCGTGCAATTTGAAAGCGACAGTATTGCCTGTTCCCCGTGGAGAACGTTGAGAGCGACAGTATTGCCCTCATGCATGGCCCGCCTACCGTACCCCGTGGAGAACGTTGAGAGCGACAGTATTGCCTGTTCCCCGGACGGCGGGGCTGCGGGCCATGCATGATGAAAAGCTCAGCTTCTCATCTCGTTTCTGGTCTTCACGGATCACTCACCGCGCGCGCACGAGGATGCATGCAGAGCCTGCGGCTGTACTACATGCATGCCGCCGCTCTTGCTCATCCATCAGGTGTGTGGTGTGTGCATGTGCCCCGTGCCAGCGTCACGCCGTGATCCATCATCTGCTTTGACTTTGAGTTGCATCCTTGCATGGTTGGACGAGAACGTACGAATGGTGATCTCACTAGTCACGTACTACTGACTAGTCACGATGATATCAATATGTGCATGCGTATATCCTGCTAAACGTTTGCCACTGCACCTTCGCTCTTGTACTCCGTATATATCCTGCTACCTCATATATATATATATATATATAACTACTACCCTATAGCTGGCTACAAAAATAACTTATTCTATAGCCACTTTGAGTTACGATAATTACTATTTAATTTACGAGATTATAGTAAATCCTTACTAAGTGGTTTACTATAACGTTATGGTAAATATCTCCATGTGTTATAGTAACCCAACTATCGTAAATATGTATTGACATTATCGTAAATTAATATATAAAATTATCGTAAATAGAGATGGCTACAGAATAACTTATTTTGTAGCTGCTACTGAATATACTCTCCATATATATGTATATATATATGGAAATTATTTCCTACTCCCAGGGAATAGTTACTCCCATGTGTATATCTCTAGATTTAGGACGTATATGGCCCGACGAAGTATACATAGATGGAGTATATCATCATACTAGACTATCTAGGGTACTATGTA